GGATGTGTTCGCAAAGTCCTTTTGTGCACCAGGGATACATCCTGGTTCCACTGTCTGAGGTCCCTTAGACTGCTCAGTCCTTCAACGGGGCCTTAGTCAGTCCCATGCTGGCTTCCCAGCTATCAGTCTGGTGGCCCGTTAGCTCCTCCTTGTTCAGGTAAGCTGTCTCTATGTGTTTCTGCAGCCTGGTCTTGTCCTCTCCATCTGCTTCTGGGTTCTAGTTCAACTTAGTGTTTATGTATGGGTGTTTGCTCCTGTTTCCAAAAGGCATTAGTTGAGGGCTCCATGGATAAGTTAGTTGTTGATCTCACTATCCGGGAAGGACATTTATGGTAGTCTTTCTGAAAGACCCCCAGAGCCCCCAAGAGTTTGGAGCCTGTCAGGGGGAAGGCCCTTGCTCCCAAGAGACGAGACCAGAACACTGGATGCAAGTGCAAGAGGTTGTTTATTGTTTACACAGGTACCTGTGGACACTTCAGTCTTTCGGGGGGGGACTGAGCGTGCTGAGGTTAAAACTCAGGCAGTTTATATAGGGTTGGGGTGGCAAGAAGCAGGCTTACAGAAGCAGAAGCATGGTTACAGGGATTTCATTGTTTCATCTAAATGTAGCAGTTGTAGTTAACCAAGGACAGTTGGTTATTCGGGTTGGGCACAAAGAATACAAAGAATTCAGTTATGACTATCTCAACATACTGGACACTGTCCTGCTGACCTTGCTTTGGTCCAAGCTGCAGACCACAGATATCTGGTTGGCGTTGGATGAGAGCAGCACCTGGTTCCCTCCTGTACTTTTCTCATAGCTTGACCCTGGCAAATTAGCAAGAGCAGTTTAAACAGGCAATAAGCATAGTGGGGGTCTTTCATTTCCACAGAAGCTCAAATTGTTATTTGGCAGCAGTCTTGTAGTTCTCTAGACCTTTCTTTGTGTTCAATTTTATCTTCAAACCAATATTGGCTCCCTCTTTTATGTTCTCTCTCTCTGTCTCTGTCTCTCTCTCTCTCTTTCCTGTCTTCTATTCCTAACCAGGCTCAATCTTCCTGGTCCCACATGTTTTCCTTTCCTCCTCCTCATTTTCTCCTACTTCTCTCTCCATTCGCTGCCCCCCCTCACTTCCACTTTACTCTGGGGGACTTGTCCCTTCCCAGTTCTGTGAGGGACTTTATATGAATCTCTTAGAGTACACCTTGTATCCTAGTTCCTCTGGTGGTGTGAATTATAGGCTGGTGATCCTTTGATCTAGGTCTAAAATCCATATATGAGTGAGTACATACTGTGTTCCTCTTTTGGTGACTGGGTTACCTCATTCAGGATGTTTTCTTCAAGTGCCATCCACTTGCCTGCGAATTTCAAGATACCATTATTTTTTTCTGCAGAGTAGTATTCCATTGTGTAGATGTGCCACATCTTCATTAACCATTCTTCAATTGAGGGGCATCTAGGTTGCTTCCTAGATGTAATAGCAAGGTTCTTGCTATTACAAATAGTGCTGCTATGAACATAGTTGAACAGATGTCTTTGTTGCATGAATGTGGATAATTTGGGATCACCGGATCCTGTGGTAAACAAATTCCCATTTTCCTGAGGAACCACCATACTTATCTCCAAAATGGCTCTATGAGTTTGCACTCCCACCAGTAGTGGAGGAGCGTTCCCCTTTCTCCACATCCTCTCCAACATGAGTCATCACTGGGGTTTCTAATTTTAGCCATTCTGGCAGGAATAAGATGGTATCTCGAAGTTGTTTTGATTTGCATTTCCCTGATAGCTAAGGATGTGGAGCATTTTCTTAAGTGTCTTTCAGCCTTTTTGATTTCCTCTATTGAGAATTCTTTCTTCAGTTCTGTACCCCATTTTTTAATAGGGTTATTTGATGTTTTGTTGACTAGTTTCTTGAGTTCTTTGTATATTTTGGAGATTAGCCCTTTGTCGGATATAGGATTGGTGAAAATCTTTTCCCATTCAGTGGGCTGCTGTTTGGTCTTGTCAACTGTGTCCTTTGCCTTACAGAAGCTTCTAAGTTTGAAGAGGTCCCATTTATTAATTGTTTCTTTCAGTGTCTGTGCCCCTGGAATTATGTTCAGGAAGCGGTCTCCTCTACCAATTTGTTCAAGGGTACCTCCTACTTTCTCTTCTAAGAGGTTCATTGTGGCTGGATTAATGTTGAGGTCTTTGATCCATGTGGACTTGAGTTTTGTGCATGGTGACAGACATGGGTCTATCTGCAGTCTTCTACACACCCTCATCCAACTGTGGCAGCACCATTTGTTGAAGATGCTGTCTTTGCCCCATTGTATAATTTTAGCTGTTTTGTCAAAAATCAGGTATTCATAGGTGTGTGGGTTAATATCAGGATTTTCAATTGGATTCCATTGGTCTACCTGCATATTGTTGTGCCAATACCAGGCTGTTTTCAGAACTATAGCCCTGTAGTAGAGCTTAAAGTCAGGAATGGTGATGCCTCCTGAAGTTCCAATTTTGAAATTTTAAGGCTTAACTTCCATTGCTTCTTTTTTGTCTTTTATTTTGTTAGTGTCTTGCTACTTTTCTGTAGTGTCTTGGAATTTAAATATTCTGATGTCTTTAATTTTCTTTCTGAATTAAGATTACTTTATTACTGTATTATTAATGCTTTTCTTTGCTTCCATGTGATTTTAAATGCCCCAGCCTGTGGGGTCAGTTGACGAGGACCCTGAGGGAGTGAGTGAGAGTGAGGGATAAGAGACTTGAGAGATGGAGATAAGACAGTATTCTGATGGAGTCTACTTTAATGAATATAACCCAGGGTTTATGTAGTGGAGAAATGAGGGAATGGGTCAAAGGGAGGATGTGAGGGAGGCAGAATGTCCTCTGAAGCAGAATGCAAGTGTTCTTCTATAAGATAGGTAAGTTGCTATACGATAAGCCTGCAGCTGGAACTCTTTCATGGTCAGGCTGCATCATATGTTTAACAAGAGAACAGTCATAGGGGAATGAAAAATTACCACTATATTAGTATCTAAGAGAGTAGTGGGAAGGATGGCTGTTAAGATGCTAACTTTGCTATCAGTTTCCCCACATTTAAGGATTGTGTTTTTTGGTTCTCTGAGGGATGTCTTTGGTAACTGATCAGAGTTCCATTGTTATGTGACTATTAAGAACATTAATTCTGTAGTGTTTTGTTATTTTTATTTTAGAGGCTTTCATAACTTTGGTTAAGTTTATTCCTAGGTGGTTTTTTGTGGCTATGCAATTTGTTTCACATTCTTGTTCTTTAAAAATTTATTATTAATAAATTAAAACTTGATGTTTATATCTTGTTCCTTGGTTAAATTCATTAATTGATTGTAATTATCTTGGTAGAAATCTTTAGGGATATATATATATATATATATATATATATATTCTTGTGAACAGTTATTTGACTTCCCATTTTTATCTCTTTTCTTTATCTTTCTTTCCTTGTTATGTCATTAAGAAGAGTATTTAACATTTTTGTTAGTTCTCCCTCAAAGGAGAATCACCCTACATCATAGGATTTATTATGACTTCTGCTGGAAGAATAAACTTGAGACACTGAATATTATAGGCTTGCTTATTTGAATAATTCCAATATCTATTCCTAATTTCCTGTTACTTGTCTTTAAATGAAGTTCCTTAAGAGAAATGTGGGCTTTTTAAGATAAGGTCAGGATGCATTAGTTTATACTTGGAAGAAAATCTCAGTAGGAAATTGTTTGTCAGTTAGTAGGAGTTCATTGACTGACTGGTGTAATTCCAATAGCAATGGGCCCTTAGTAAACTAAAGAACATTCATTATAAAATATAGAAAATATATTTTAAAAAAGAATTAATACAATTAACCAGGGTCCTGTGGAAGAGCATTCAGTGCTCTTAACCTCTGAGCAGTCTCTCCAGCACAACCATCTACTCTTCTTTACACGTGAAAATTTAATTACCTCTCACAAGTTTGTTTTCTCAAGGTGCCAACCAGAGTCTGATTAATTCTGTAAGCTATATGACCAAGGAACTCAGGCCTAATATTGGGTAAATTGCTTTCTTTGATGATTGGCATGTTGTTCTGTAGGCAGAATTCATGGGTCTATAATGCATGAAAGTCCCTTGTTCTTATTTTCCATCCTTGGCAAATCTCACATCTAGCAAAGGGGAAAGTAACTTATAGCGTATTTTTTGTTTGTTTTTTGTATCTCTTACTGGAGTAAGTGGCAGAATAACCTAAATGATTTTCCTAATCATTTTTATTAACTGTCCTAATCACCTTTACCTTCTTGGGCTAACTCAGAGTCCAATTCTCATAGATCTAATGAATCCTTTCTGCTCTTATAAAAAAAATCATCTTTATGACCTGAAAGTAAATTGCCCAGTGAGAAGTAGGTTTTCCCAAGAAACAAACACACTATGCTATGTACAGTAGGATCCTTTCATAGAGGAAACATACCATACCAAAAACAGCAGGAACACAATAGCAGCAAGTAGGAGTAAGCATAGCAGAAACAAGGGTTATTCTGGAAACAATCCCCCCTGGGGATGTATCTTGAATAGTGTGCTATCCATTGGGCTGTGTCCTATAAGCTTCATTGCTATCTGTATCTTCTTTGGCACAAACAAAAAATTTAGAAACAAGTATTAAGAAGGGTTGGTGGTCATAGTTTAGTGGTAGATACTTGACCGTTAGGTTTAAACCCTAGTACTGCAAAAAAAAAAATTCAAAGAAAATAGTTATTGGCAAATGATATAATACTAATAATTTATCTTTTTATTTCCAAAAATGTAACTATTTATTTTTTGACACTTAATAGGTTTTAATTTCCTCAAGTCTTTAATAATACTTGGGGGGAAGAGTTATATTTCTAATTGTACATGTTCCTTGGAGTAATATAATAAAATTATCTTTCCTTACTACTTAATCTCTACATTTGTGCTAATACTTAATTCTGGATGCTACCTATATAAAGTATTATGTCCTTTTATTTACTTTGTCCTTTGGAATTTTTTTCATTAGCCAGAACCTTCAGAAGAGGATATTGAGAAAAATCCAGAGCTAAAGAAACTACAGATATATGGGGCAGGCCCCAAGATGATAGGCTTGGGCCTAGTGGCTAAGGAGAAGACTCTGAGAAAGAAAGATGGCATGCAACAAGGTGGGACTAAAATACTAATGGGTGAAATAGTGAAGAATCATGAGAAACAGGCTTTATTAAACCTGATCTTAAAAAGTTTGTTTTCACTTCTTTTTGTTCTTCCTAGATAAAGAAGTAACCTGCCCGCCAACTGTGGTAGTGAAGGAGGAAGCCAGTGGGTTTGGAAAAGTGTCATCACTTTCTGATGAGGACCTTAATCAAAGTCTAGAACCTTGTACCAAGATGACTATGCAGCTACGGAACAATCACAGCAGTACCCAATTTGTAAGGATTCACCAGAGATTTTGTAATATTGTTTTGAACTACTGACAATATCGTAAACCTATAATTATTTCTTGTTTTAATTTATTATTTTTGTATACATTTTTATTTTATACACTGTATATTTTATTAAAAAATTATTTAGTCTTACATAGTCCAGAGTCGGCTCCAACATGTTATATAAAAGGTGAACTTCCTCCACCTCCTCAGTGATAGGATATAGGTATGCAATTTGAGACATAGACCTTTATTTTTACTTTTGTGAAACCATAACCCTTTTTGTTTAAATTGGCCTATATTGTTCCTTTTCCCTCTTTTTTTCTGACATATAAAAACAGGTCAGAGCTAAGGTTCTGTAGTATAATTTGTGGCAAGTTTTTTTTCTTTTTTTTTTTAATATATATATAATTTTTTATAACAAAGTCCAATTAAATGAAAACAAACATTTATACACAATATTTGGGAATTTGGGCGTCGTTCTTTCCAAACTACTTCCTGCTGGTAAGGGGCGCTGTCTTGGGAGATTCAAAGAAGATTCAGATATCCTAGCTGTAGTCTGTAGGGCTGTTTGTCCAGCTGTTTGGAATGTAGGATCAGCTTGTACTCTGTTTCAGGCGGTCTGGCGTGATCAAACCACATAAGTCTGGAAGGAATCCACATCTTTTCATTTTCTGTGGAAACAAAAATAGGAATCCTTTTCCCCAGTAACTTGTTCTTCAACTTAAATTTTGGAGTCAAGCGTTTTTTTTTTTTTTTTTTTTAATTTATTATTTTACATGTCGATCCCAGTTCCCTCTCCCTCCCTCCCTCCCCTCCAGCCCTCCCTCCATCCTTCCCTCCCTTTTACCCTCTCTGCCCTCTCACATGCACTCTAAACACCCTCCCCTCCCAACCCCCCACCACAATACCATATGTAGGGGAATGCCATCCAGTTGGGGTCATGTAGATCTGACAGGTCCTGTGAAGTAGGGACTAGGGCGTCTCTCCTATCTCTAGAATAAGGCAGTTATCCCTCCATGGGGGATATGTTTGCAAAGTCCTTTTGTGCACCCGGGATACATCCTGGCTCCACTGTCTGAGGTCTCTTAGACTGCTCAGTCCTTCTGGCTGAGACCCATATTCAGGGGGGCCTGAGTCAGTCCCCTGCTGGCTTCCCAGCTATCAGTCTAGTGGCCCTTAGTTCCTCCTTGTTCAGGTAAGCTGTCTCTATGTACTTCTACCGCATGGTCTTGTCCTCTCCATCTGCTTCTGGGTTCTAGTTCGACTCAGTGTTTATGTATGGGTGTTTGCTCCTGTTTCCAAAAGGCATTAGTTGAGGGCTCCATAGAGAAGTTAGTTGTTGATCTCACTTTCCGGGAAGGGCATTTATGATAGCCTTTCCACGGAAGCTGAGATTGTTAGTTGGGAGCAGTCTTGTAGTTCCCTCGACCTTTCTTTGTGTTCAACTTTATCTTCAAACCAATATTGGCTCCCTCTTTTATGTTCTCTCTCTCTGTCTCTGTCTCTGTCTCTCTCTCTTTCCTATTTTCCATTCCTAACCAGGTTCAATCCTCCTGGTCGCACATGCCTTCCTCTCCTCCCCCTCATTTTCTCCTACTTCTCTCTCCATTCGCTGTCCTCCCCCACTTACCTGAGGTCTGGAGGACTTGTCCCTTCCCAGTTCTGTGAGGGACTTTATATGAATCTCTTAGAATACAACTTGTATCCTAGTTCCTCTGGTGATGTGAATTATAGGCTGGTGATCATTTGATCTAGGTCTAAAATCCATATGTGAGTGAGTACATACTGTGTTCCTCTTTTTGTGACTGGGTTACCTCATTCAGGATGGTTTCTTCAAGTGCCATCCACTTGCCTGTGAAATTCAAGATTCCATTGTTTATTTCTGCAGAGTAGTATTCCATTGTGTAGATGTGCCACATCTTCATTAACCATTCTTCAATTGAGGGGCATCTAGGTTGCTTCCAGGTTCTTGCTATTACAAATAGTGCTGCTATGAACATAGTTGAACAGATGTCTTTGTTGCATGGATGTGGGTTATTTGGGTATATGCCTAAGAGGGCGAATGCCGGGTCCTGTGGTAAACTAATTCCCATTTTCCTGAGGAACCACCATACTGATCTCCAAAATGGCTCTATGAGTTTGCACTCTTACCAGCAGTGGAGGAGTGTTCCCCTTTCTTCACATCCTCTCCAACATGAGTCATCACTGGTGTTTCTAATTTTAGCCATTCTGGCAGGGGTAAGATGGTATCTCAAAGTTGTTTTGATTTGCATTTCCCTGATAGCTAAGGATGTGGAGCATTTTCTTAAGTGTCTTTAAGCCTTTTTGATTTCCTCCATTGAGAATTCTTTCTTCAGTTCTGTACCCCATTTTTTTAATAGGGTTATTTGGTGTTTTGTTGACGAGTTTCTTGAGTTCTTTGTATATTTTGGAGATCAGCCCTTTGTCGGATATAGGATTAGTGAAAATCTTTTCCCACTCAGTGGGCTGCTGTTTGGTCTTGTCAACTGTGTCCTTTGCCTTACAGAAGCTTCTAAGTTTGAAGAGGTCCCATTTATTAATTGTTTCTTTCAGTGTCTGTGCCCCTGGTGTTATGTTCAAGAAACGGTCTCCTCTACCAATTTGTTCAAGGGTACCTCCTACTTTCTCTTCTAAGAGGTTCATTGTGGCTGGATTGATGTTGAGGTCTTTGATCCATGTGGACTTGAGTTTTGTGCATGGTGACAGACATGGGTCTATCTGCAGTCTTCTACACACCCTCATCCAATTGTGCCAGGACCATTTGTTGAAGATGCTGTCTTTGCCCCATTGTATAATTTTAGCTGTTTTGTCGAAAATCAGGTGTTCATAGGTGTGTGGATTAATATCAGGATTTTCAATTGGATTCCATTGGTCTACCTGTCTATTTTTATGCCAATACCAGGCTGTTTTCAGAACTATAGCCCTGTAGTAGAGCTTAAAGTCAGGAATGGTGATGTCTCCTGAAGTTCTTTTATTGTATAGGGTTGTTTTGGCTATCCTAGGTCTTTTGTTTTTCCATATAAAGTGGATTATTATCCTTTCAAGGTCGGTGAAGAATTGTGGTGGAATTTTAATGGGGATTGCATTGAATCTGTAGATTGCTTTTGGTAAGATTGCCAATTTTACTATGTTTATCCTACCTAACCAAGAGCATAGGAGATCTTTCCATTTTCTGGTATCTTCTTTAATTTCTTTTTCTTTAGAGTCACAAAGTTCTTATTATATTGGTCTTTTACTTGTGTGATAAGCGTTACACCAAGATACTTTATGTTGCTTGTGGCTATTGTAAAGGGTGATGTTTCTCTGATTTCTTTTTCTGCCTCTTTGTCGTCTGAAAAAAATAGGGCTACTGATTTTTTTGAGTTTATCTTGTATCCTGCTAGTTTGCTGAAGGTGTTTATCAGCTGTAGGAGTTCCCTGGTAGAGTTTATTGGGTCGCTTATGTAAACTATCATATCATCTGCAAATAGAGACAGTTTGACTTCTTCCTTTCCAATTTGGATCCCCTTGATCTCCTTTTGTTGTCTTATAGCATTAGCTAGAACTTCTAGTACGATATTGAAGAGATATGGAGAGAGAGGACAGCCTTGTCTTGTTCCTGATTTTAGAGGAATTGGCTTAAGTTTCTCTCCATTCAGTTTGATGTTGGCAGTTGGTTTGCTGTATATTGTTCTTATTATGTTTAGGTATGTTCCTGTTATCCCTTACCTCTCCAAGACCTTTATCATGAAAGGGTGTTGAATTTTGTCGAAGGCTTTTTCCGCATCTAGGGAGATAATCATATGGTTTTTCTTTTTCTGTTTGTTTATATGGTGGATCACGTTGATAGATTTTCATATGTTAAACCATCCCTGCAATCCAGGGATGAAGCTTACTTGATCATGGTGGATGATTTCTCTGATGTATTCTTGAATTCGGTTTGCCAGTATTTTATTGAGTATTTTTACATCGATGTTCATCAGGGATATTGATCTGTAGTTTTCTTTCTTAGTTGTGTCTTTGTGAGGTTTGGGTACCAAAGTTATTGTGGCCTCATAAAAAGAGTTTGGCAATAAACCTTCTGTTTCTATCTTGTGGAACAGTTTGAGGAGTAGTGGTATTAGTTCTTCCTTGAATGTCTGGTAGAATTCTGCACTGAATCCATCTGGCCCTGGACTTTTTTTGGTTGGAAGGCTTTTGATGACTGCTTCTATTTCATTTCGGGTTATAGGTCTATTTAAGTTGTTTGTCTGTTCTTGATTTAATTTTGGTAAGTGATAGTTATCCAGAAACTTGTCCATTTCCTTTGAATTTTGAATTTTTGTGGAATACAGATTTTCAAAGTATGACCTGAAAATTGTCTGGATTTCCTCTCTGTCTGTTGTTATGTTCCTCATTTCGTTTCTGATTTTGTTAATTTGCATGTTCTGTCTCTGCTTTTTCGTTAATTTGGATAAAGGTTTGTCTATCTTGTTGATTTTCTCAAAAAACCAACTCTTTGTTGTATTCATTTTTTGTATTGTTTTCCTGGTTTCTATTTTGTTGATTTCATCCCTCAAGGTGGTTATTTCCTGGCGTGTACTCCTGCGGGGTAAATTCGCTTCTCTCTGTTCTAAGGTTTTCAGTTGCGCTGTTAATTCTTTTATGTGACTATCCTCTGTTTTCTTCATATGGGCACTTAGTGCAATGAACTTCCCTCGTAGCACTGCTTTCAAGGTGTCCCATAAGTTAGGGTATGTTGTATCCTCATTCTCGTTGAATATTAGAAAGTCTTTAATTTCTTTCTTTATTTCTTCTTTGACCCAGGAGTGGTGCAATTGCACATTGTTCAGTTTCCATGAGTTTGCAGGTTTTCTGCTATTTGTGTTGTTGTTGAATTCCAATTTTAAAGCATGGTGGTCTGATAAGAGACAGGGGACTATTCCTATTCTCTTGTATCTGTTGAGGTTTATTATGTCTCCTAGTATGTGGTCGATTTTAGAGAAGGTTCCATGTGGAGCAGA